TTCTGATGAGATCAGGCCTAATTGTTCTAGTTTATATGTAAGCGATATATTTTTTCCCTTCATTGCTTAAGATTATCTTTTGCCTTAGTTTTTCATCGATTTAGAAATATACAAGCCCGGTTTGGGGTTTCCCCATTTTCTGAGAATCTTCAATCTATATTTTGGCATTTGTCAACAATTGGAACATCACACACACACACACACACACACACACACACACAATTTGGAATTAGGTGTGATGCAACATTAGGGAAAGTGCGTAGAGTGCAAAGACAACAAAGAGAAGGGGTTCAGATGGAGTTTGGAGCATTGCGGCTTCTGCTATTTAGGAATCAATCACAGGAGAAACCAGCAACAAAATTTTAAAAAAATGAGGAAGGACTGCCAATATGGTCAGAGAAGCCCACAAAATAATGTTTCATTTAACCAGGGCTAATAAATTATATTAAATAGAAAGCAGCAATCAATTGTGTCAAATATTGCTGAGATATATTAAAATGATCAAAAAAAAAAAAAGATGGCTCATGACTCTGGATAGGAGGAGTTTGAAACAGTAGTTAGTGAATGGTAGATTACCAGTGAGAGGGTTGAGGAGAAAATGTGAAGTAATAAAGGAGTGATGGCAATAATAGCTAAATGTAGGCAAAGGTTGATGCTTTCTAAGTTCAGATTGGAAAACAAGCAATGAGACAGACATTTATTAGGAAGAGAATATTCCAAGTATTCTGATCACAGTGGAAACTTAGCTTTCAGTAAATAGTATCATAAATGAAATATAAAAATAATCTAAGTAAATAAAATTTAAGAAGATGGAATCTGTAACTAAAAATTTCACATTATGACAAACCAATGGAAAAAAATGAGTAGAAATTTGTTAGACAATCTGAATATTCCAATTATGCTATCTTTGGGGAAAAGGAAGCCTTAAGGATGGGAAATGTATTCTAAAATTTAGGAAATGACGTTTGTGATTTTAAGAAAAGGCCACAGTCTGTCTAGCACTTATTTTTTATGGGACAATTATCTGTACCCCTTCATACATTAATGTTCAATTTAACCTTAAATTATTTTTCAACTTAATAAAAATATTACTGTTGTATTTATATAGGAAATATGTAAATAAAATTTTTTTTTCAGAGGATAAAGGATTCAATTGACCAAAATGTGAGATATGTTTCCTGAGACAAAGCATGGTAGCTTCCATAAATTCTTTTGAGTTACATATAAGGTCTCTTAATCATAGGGTTTTATTTAAATTTAGGAAGATTAATTTGATGAAAGAACAAAAGCAAGATTGTTAGCTTAATCAGATGGAGAAATCATTCCTATTAGAATTTATTTTGGAAAAATTAATTAAAAACAACTGTTTTTATGAGCAAATCTACTAGCAAATTAGAATGATCTTTGTAAGATAGATGCCATTGAGTTACTAAAAAAATAATGTATGGAGGATGAAGTTGCCCAGAGAATTGAATGATTTTGTCTGCTTTCAAAAAATAGATAATGTTCTAAGAAAGGTGATATTTTCTTTTCTTAGAAGATATTATTTACTTATTTGACGGAGAGAGAGAGAGGGAGAGAAAGGGCCCAATCAGGAGTAGTGGCAGGCAGAGGGAGAGGGAGAAGCAGGATCCTTGATGAGCAGGGAGGTGGATACTGGGCTCAATGTAGGGCTTGATGGCAGACTGTTTGGGGGTTTGATGGGGGTTTGGTGGGGCCTTGATCCCAGGAATCCAGGATCATGACCTGAGTCAAAGGCAGATGCTTTACTGACTGAGCCACCCAGGTGCCCCAGAAAGGTGATATTTTAGTTGAATACTTAGAGGGCTCAGGACAGCTTATAAATTTTGAGACAAGCAAATATTAGCAAGCCAAAAATGTGGGAATTTTAGGGAAGGATAATGGCAAGCAGCATAAAAGTGATACTACTAATACTCTTTTAGTCATCATTCAGCTGTCATCATGTTAAGAAAATAAATGCCAGACATCTACCAGACAGTTCCATAATATCTGGAGAATAAGCTTAAGATAAATATTTAATAGATAACAAGATCTTTAGTTGGAGTAATGAAAACTAAGCTTTCCTGAGTTTAAATTTTCACTAATCATTTTAGCTGTGTATCTTTCAAAACGATCTTAGTCTCTTTGAGCCTTCTTTCACTACTATACATAATGCTAATAATAATTATATTACAATATTGTTTCCATAATCATGTGATTTTTATCAAACACCTAGCAGTGCAAGCACTTAGTGGGTAGTCAACAAAATATGATTCTTATTTTTATATCATATTTGTTGTCTGGCCTATATCACTAGAGCAGCAAAGCTGGAAGCATTTCCGGTAAAGCACTTCAACATTTCAGGTGGACTCTCTCTCAAGAAATAAGTTGTACCTGTATTTAAAAATTACATTACTTGTTAAAGACCAATTTAACAAAAACAGAAGCAAAAACAAAAGCAAAATCCAACAGTGGTAAACTCTTTGGGGAGTCAGGATTTGGAGGCCAAACATAGCAGTTCTAGTAGACATGCTATAAGGTGATATGTCATAGACAAACAACAGAGAAGGCAGGTGATGCACCTGTAATCTCTTTGGGAGAAGGAAGAAGTAGGAATGGGAAAGTCTTAGTTTAGAAGTGCTAGACCCTTATAAAGATTTAGAGAATCTGTGATAAATAACTTGTAAGTGACAGACATCTTAAAATATATGAGAAGTTTTTCAGAATAGCTCAATAATAAATTAGTGGTTTAACTTGGACAACACGTTTTAAGCAAACTCACTGTATTTGGCACATTAACAGGATCAAAATAATCAGAATATTGAGACAGCCCTAGTTTAGGTTATACTTGTACAGTTGACTCTTGTACAACACAGGTTTGACTTGCACAGTTCCACTTACATGTGGATTTTTTTAATAAATACATACAGTACTGTAAATGTATTTTTTATGATTTTCTTAATAACATTTTCTTTTCTCTAGCTTATTTTATTGTAAGAAAACAAGATATAATACATATAACACACAAAGTAGGTGTTAATAGACTGGTTATGTTATCAGTAAAGCCCTCCTATCAATAGTAGTCTATTAGCAGTTAAGTTTTTGGAGAGTAAAAAGTTATACATGGATTTTACTTTGCAAGGGGGCAGGGCCCCAACTGCTATGTTGTTCAAGGGTCAACTGTATTAGACTGTCTCAATATGGTTTTATATATATATATATATATATATATATATATATTATATTGTCCGGTCAATTACATATTATATGTAGTCATCCTCCTGCCTATATTTTTATTCTGTGCCTTAAGATAGTATCATTCAGAAATGTTTTCTTCTAGATAACTAGTCCCTATAGAACATACTTTAGCAAAACAATCACAGTTTTAATCGACAAACAATTCAAAGATGAGCATCACCACTGATGGCTAATCTCTGTTAAATTTATTTTAATTACTTTAAACACAATTATTGCCAACAAATTATATTATAAAAATATAAATGAATATAATTTTAAGTACATTAAATGAGTAATTAAGCAAATAAACTCACTGTTGCCGGGAATGGCCAGCAACCCCTGTACTGATGGATGAAAGATTACTCCAAACTTTGCTGGGAAAGAGAGGAGAAGACAAGGGGGTCAAAGCTCAGAGATGAAGACCCTTTGCTCTTCTTTTTTTTCTTCTTAATTTAATTTAATTTTATTATGTTATGTTAGTCACCATACAATACAACATTAGTTTTTGATGTAGTGATCCATGATCCATTGTTTTCGTATAACACCCAGTGCTCCATGCAATACGTGCCCTCCTTAATACCCATCACCGGGCTAAACCATCCCCCCACCCCCTCCCCTCTAAAACCCTCAGTTTGTTTCTTCGAGTCCATAGTCTCTCACGGTTCATCTCTCCCTCCAATTCCCCCTCTTCATTTTTCCCTTCCTTCTCCTAATGTCCTCCATGCCATTCCTCATGTTCCACAAATAAGTGAAACCATGTGATAATTGACTTTCTCTGCTTGACTTATTTCACTTAGCGCAATCTCCTCCAGTCCCATCCATGTTGATGTAAAAGTTGAGTATTCATCCTTTCTGACGGCTGAGTAATATTCCATTGTATATATGGACCACACCTTCTCTATCCATTCATCTGTTGAAGGGCATCTCGGCTCTTTCCATAGTTTGGCTATTGTGGACATTGCTGCTATGAACATAAGGACCTTCTTTTCACTACTCTTTGCTCCTGTTTTTATTGGTCCTTCAGGATAATCACAAATCCTTATCACTGTTTCTCAAGCACGTGATGTGTGACAAGGGGTCTTACTGAAACTGGAAGGATTTGTTCAAGGGAAAGATAAGATACGCTAATCTACATGTTCTACTAAACATAGCCTGAGGGACAATGCATACATCTCAGATCACAAGGGCTGTTTGGGCTAAGAAAGCTTCAGGGAAGGAACCCACGGCATTCCAATGGCAGAGTGGTCACGCAGACCTCAGCATTCCAAAACCCTCGCTGGTCCCCAGTGGCCTCTGTGTTACATTTTAGCAAGCCAGGTATTATGGATGATTTCATGCTCTACATTAATCCCAACACACTGTGTTTAAGAAATAAACTTGATCACAAATAAAGATAGTAATAACCTTTGAATTGTGTGTGTTACATCAAATGTAATTCAAATTAAACAACATTTTACAGTCTTAAGTAATTAGAAATTAAAGATAAAAGAGACAGATTGAAAAATGGGGCTCAATTTCTTTCCTATATCTAGAGGAAAGGGAAGTGAGATGTGAGAAAAGATATATCTAATGAAGAATATAGGGACATTAACTTCTGTGGAAAAAAGATTTTTGTGAATAAAACTTGAAAGAGATTAGGATGAGTATCATAGGGATAAAGAAAACAAAAAGAGGAAACTATGTACTGAAAACTACTACTGAATACACTGATGTTATATGAGACTTCTTTGCTCATTTCCAGTATAAAAAATGCAACAGGACATTCATTTGTTTGAGAAAGAAACAATTTTGTGTACCATATTCATGAAGGCTTTCTTCACTTGCTGGTTCCACAAAGTATAGATGAAAGGATTCAAAAGTGGAGCCACGGAAGTATTAAGCACTGCAATTCCTTTGGAAAAGGATATTCTTTGTTTGACTGATGGTTTAACATACATGAAGATGCAGTTGCCATAAGAAAGGGATATCACAATCATGTGAGAAGAACATGTTGAAAAAGTTCTTTTCCTCTGATTAGTTGAAGGAATTTTTAGGATTGCTAAGGCAATATAAGTATATGATTTTATCACCATTATCAATGTGACTATGAGTGTCACCAAAGCAGAGATGTATCCCATTGTCTCTAATAGCTGTGTGTCTGAGCAGGAGATCTGCAGCAGGGGAGTTGTATCACAGTAGTAATGATCAACAATGTTGGAGGCACAGAAATCAAGATTTAGGCCTAGGAGGAGAGGTACAAAGATGGTAAAGAATCCAGCAAGCCAATAACAGAAGACAAGTTGTATGCAGATCTTGCTGTTCATGATGGTTGTGTAATGCAGGGGCTTACAGATGGCAACATAGCGGTCATAGGACATGGCAGCCAGCAAGTAAAAGTCAGATGCACCAAGAAGGAAGGCAAAAAACACTTGAGTTACACAACAATTAAAGGAAATGGTTTTGTCTCCAGTTGCCATAGTAACCAACAATTTAGGGATGCATGTAGTAGTATAGGAAATTTCTAAGAAGGAAAAATTCCGAAGGAAAAAATACATGGGGGTCTTGAGATGAGTATCCACCAGGGTGAGTGTGATGATGGTCAGATTGCCAGTGACGCTCAGCAAGTAGGTGAGAAGCAGGAAGACAAAAACACAATTTTCAATTGTGGATCATCAGTCAAACCTGCCAGGATAAACACTATTGCTTGTGTGTGGTTTCCCATTACTGTCCTCTACTTTTCCAGGTCTAAACAGAAAAGAAAGGAAAAAAGAAATTGATGATCCCAATGGAAAAAATAACAGTGATTAAATGTTTAAAGTTAGCAAAGTGATATTTCAGATAGAATAACATAATGCTCATTCATGTTTTGAAGATGGATATGCCAGGAATAACTGTAGTTTACATTTCCAGAGTATCTGACAGAGAATTTCATCTTTAATGCAGTTCTACCAGAGAATACTGATGATAGCAATTGCTGACTATTTTTATATAAGAGGAAATATCAGAGGGGAATTAGAGGGACTTATAAGCATGGAAAAATGCTTCTTTCTTGATTTTATGCAAGAGTTGATATGGTTTCCATTTCCAATGCAATTAAGAGGTTTGCATTCTATGGGCACCTGGGCGGCTCAGTTGGTTAAGTGACTGCCTTCAGCTCAGGTCATGATCCCAGGGTCCTGGGATCAAGCCCCACATCGGGCTCCCTGCTCAGCGGAGAGCCTGCTTCTCCCTCTCCCTCTGCCTGCTGCTCTGCCTACTTGTGCTCTCTCTCTGTGTGTCAAATAAATAAATAAAATCTTTAAAAAAAAAGGTTTGCATTCTAGAACCAAAATGATTATTGTCATTAAAAGTACATCAGAAAATGGTTTTCATAAAATACCCACACACCTTATCATTGTCAATAAACAGGGTTACTATAACTTTACCATTTTACTCAACTAATCAAATTCCAATGCCTGATTCTTCTGTCATTTCTTTCATGGCTAACGAGATACCATTTCAGAGAAGTGAATATGAAATATCATGAATAATTTTATTTTCTGTCCTTAGTAGTATTCCCATCCCATCAATCTCTGTTATCATCCCTACTCTTCCCATGTTGTACTCCCAAACAAAATCAGCAGGAACAGTCTGGTAATGTTGGTATGTGTGATAAAAAAGTGCAGCTTTCCTTTAAAAGTTATGATTCTGAAAAATGAAAAAAATTTTAAAATGAGAGTAATGGATATAGAAGCAGATAGAAATATATAAATACGGTTTCCGAAAATGCATGAGCAGGTAGAAAGATAAAGACAAAGCTTTATGGAAAGCTAGAGATGTTATGGTTTTTAGAAATAAGATGATGAAGGGTATCTGAGTCAGATAATCTTGATTTTCGCTCAGGTCATGATCTCAGGATCCTGGGATCAAGTCCCACATCATCAGGCTCTGCACACTCAGCATGGAGTCTGCTTCTCTCCCTCTCCCTCTGCCCTTCCCCCTGCTCTCTGTCTTTTTCTCTCTCTCAAATAAATAAATAAATCTTAAAAAAAAGAAATAGAATAGTGAGCTTAGGGCAAAAATTAAAAGAAGTAAATTAGTAAATCAAAATTAAAAGATTAAAACTTTTAAATTAGTAATAATCTTAAAATTAATAATATGTAAATTAGTAATATTAGTAAATAAAAATTATAAGAAAATGTTTACCATAAAATTTCTCTCCATCTGCTTCTATGCTTTACACTTAACATTTTATTCTTTGTCTAAAATACTGACTGAAAAGTTGAACAATTTGGAGTCAGCATGGCCTAAAAGAGATGAAGAATATTTTTGTGAATTTCAAACACAGTGAATCACATAATCGTGTTGACAAAATTTTAGAAGGCATGTATTTCCCTATCATAAGGATATTCAAATATTTGGTTAACAAGTAACTAAATAAATATTAACTATAGATAACTATAGTTAGCATAAATTAAGGGAGACAGATTGTTCTGTTTTGTACAGCTATCAAATTGGAGATCAGGATTAAGTTTGAAAGAGTATTTTTTCCTAAATTGTCCTCTGAAAAGTACAATCTCTACCACTGATTATAGGGCAACTTTAAGTGCTTTTTTTTTTAAATTAATGATTCTAAGGAAGCTTTCTTTCCTCAGTATCTTCATATCAAACACATCAAATAATTAAGGTTTAGTAATGGGCCCCAGATAGAAAATGTTTTCTGTTTTGAGAATATCAATATAATTATTTCCAATCTCTAAAACATACATTATTATTTCAAAGACATATAAATATACAAGTACCAATAAAATTTGTTTCCAGTTATACCTAGAGGTATTTATAGGAGGATTCTAAGATAAAAAATAAAATCTTTTGTCAGTCATGTTAATAATTGAGTGAATAGAAGAAAGGACTGTTGTTTTTCCTCCACATTTCTTTTACATTCACATAATTATGAAGCAATGAATTATAAATTTTGCTTCATTTACACAAATTACTCCAATGACAACAACTGTAGGAATGCTTATATCTAAAACATCTAAATCACGGTTTTACTATGTCAGATTATTTCTTTGCCCAGCTTCAACAGATACACACACCAACCATCCCCCCAACATGCATTGTACAGAAATTAACAAGGTCACATTACAAAGCCATTAGAAGTCAGACCTAGGTTAGATATTGTGAATACTAGAGAAACTTTTAAAAAGTAATGTTTTTAATACTAAATTTTCATTGTATTCTGTCTTTTTTCATGATTTCCCTTAAATCACAATTTAAAAGTTAGAAAAAAGAAGGTTAATAACATAATGGTAAAAACAAGAGGAAATGGGTTAAAACATATCTAATGGAAATATGGCCTTTAAACTTTAGATATATCAATTATTTTCACCCGTTTGAGTCTTAAGTCAGTTTGCCAAAAACACTTAAAAACAAAACACTTTTTTGGAAGCTATTAAACAGATTTATTCAGACAAAGTATCTCTGCTTTAATATTTGACTCTTTTATCATCGTGCTGAACAAACCACACTGACATTCCATTCCTCTCTGAATGAATCTCCTTCTATCCCACGATCTATGATGGTTTTTCTTATCTGTTTATAGCAACTTTGTAAATGGCTTTAGGGCTTTTTTCCCCAGATTTTTAGGCTAGTATATTAAATTTCCCCATTCCTACAATTTACTTATGTATTGAATGCTTTTCTTAGTATTATTCACAGTGCCGTATAAAATTCATCAACACTTGATCCCATTGAGTATTTATGCTTTCTGGGCCCTGAAGGAAAGTATCTAAAGATTATGAGGAGTTCCCAGAAGATATGAGATCCAAGAACACCATTCCCAAAGGGTCACAAATTTATACATTATACATGAGTTCTCCCCAGACACTAAATACTTAAAAAAATAAATTATGTATATTTTTTCAAAACTACTTTTAACTATGTCTCCAAGGCTTTCAGCATAGATGTCCTTAATCTGTGTTTGCCCTTCCACACAGATGTGTTTTCATATCCCAAATACATAGACAAGAAATTGGAAGTCAAAAAAGAAAAGATTATTTTAGTTGGTAATAACAAGTGACAGCATTCGTTGAAGAATTTATTAGCCTGTCATAGAAAAAACAGTACCTGAAATACCTAAAATTTTATGTCCTATATGCTGTTTTGTTTCTGAATTTAGTCTTTCCTCCAAAAAATGATCAAGTAGATCTTAAACTGATATTTCATAACACCCAAGCATCCTCCACCTCTATATTATTGGAATATTTATCTATGTCTATAGCTGGCCTTCCTTGCAACTTGTTGTGACCATGTGACTAAATTATGAGCAAAGGTTATAAGTGGAGATGTTGTGCAATTTCCACAGATTATCCTTTGATAAAAGAGGTTTGCCCTTCTTTTCCTCTTTACCCCCTCTCATTGTTGTGATATCAGCACATGGGATGGCAAGCCATTTGGAGCCAGGAATATGAGCAATCATACTAGGAATACATTGGCTATTCAAAAAGAGAGAGCACACCAAGGTTCCTGACACCATTGCAGGTCCTACCAGCTTAGAAACACAGTGACTTCATGGAGGAGTTTCAACATACCAGACTGAACATTTAAATAAGATAAAAGTAAAGCTATTATTGTTTAAAGTGCTGTGATATTTGTCTTTCAGAGATGAAATTTGTCTTTCTCATACTCTACCAAACCTATGGTATTAATCAAAACCTGAACTTTTACCTAGAGTCTAACAGGTTGGCCCACCATCATTTCATAGACACTGACAGAGATAGCCTATTGGGTCAGTGACAGAAAACTTTATTCTTTATTATGTAACAGGAAGCAAGAGCTTCATGTTCTCATCAGTTCCCTTTCTCTGCAGGGAAGGGCCCTAATGGATATTGTGTTACACAGTGCACCTACATCTAAAACTGAGGAATCCCTAAATTAGTAAATTCTTAGACTTTTAAAGAGAAAAACCTGCTGAATTTTGCCCTACTAGAAGACAGTATCTTTTTTTTTTATTATGCTCAGTTAGCAATCAAAACCACAATGAGATACCAAATTACACCAGTTAGAATGGCAAAAATTAACAAGACAGGGAGCAACAAATGCTTGCAAGGATGTGGAGAAAGGGGAACCCTCTTACACTGGTTGGTGGGAATGCAAGCTGGGACAGCCACTCTGGAAAACAGTATGGAGGTTCCTCAAGATGTTAAAAAGAGTTACCCTATGACCCAGCAATTGCACTACTAGGTATTTATCCCAAAGATGTAGTGAAAAGAAGGGGCACATGCACCCTGATGCTCATAGCAGCAATGTCCACAATAGCCGAACTGGGGAAGGAGCTGAGATGCCCATAAATAGATGAATGGATAAAGAAGATGTTGTTCATATACACCATGGAATATTATGCAGCCATCAGAAAGGATGAATACCCACCATTTGCATTGACATGGATGGAACTGGAGGGTATTATGCTAAGTGAAATAAGTCAAAAATAAGTCAAGCATAGAAAGACCATTACCATATGGTTTCACGTATGTGTGGAACATAAGGAATAGCACGGAGGACCACAGGGGAAGGGAGGGAAAACTGAATGCGAAGACAGTATATTTAATATACTGCTAAGGGGAAAAATCTGCCAAATCTGTTATAAAATATTCTTGAATAGAGTCCAAAACAAAAGCTATCACAACATGTAGAAATGTTTCAGAATTTCCTCCCACCAAATCCATCTCTCATTTCTAAACC